AGTTCTACCATGTATAGAAAACATACCCTCAATAGACTGAGGAGCCTGCGCATTATGTGGCATGAAGTTATAAACTCTGCCATGATGCAACTACTGTGGAGGTTGTCCCGGAGGAAATGGTGGTGCTGGAAGTGCCGGAAAATTCTGAACTTGCCCACGTGGCATCGGTGGGGCCGGTAGAGGTAACGGCTGATTAGGTCTCGGCTGCCCATACTGTCCCTGCTTAGCTTTGGGACACATCTTGGCCGGATGCCCAATCTCTCTACAGTGATAACAACGTCCCATAAAAGGACCTGCCTGCCTTCTCTGTTGATTTCCCGACCACTGTTCCTGTCCGGTCTGAGGTACCCCACCTTGTCTACCCTGATTAGGGACTCCATCCCTCTGCACATCTGGGTTTCCTTTGTTTTTCTTCCAAGGTTGATGTCCTTGAAATCTGCCCCGATCATTGGACTTGGTACCACTGCTGCTTCCTTTCTCCACTGTCTGGTAGTCTCGGTTAGTCCGCTTATCTCCCTTGGACTTCCGGTAATCACTCCTCATCTGGCAGTGCTGTAAAGCGGCATTAACCACCTGGATATAAGTAGTATATGCAGGACTCCCTATGATCACCACTTTAATCGGCCATATCAACCCCTTCACAAAGTGGTCTCTCTTCTTTTCTTCCGTATTGACCTCCTCTGGTGCAAATAATGACAAATTAATGAACTTCTGTTCATACTCAGCCACAGTCATATCCTCCTGTTGCAGATCCAGAAATTCAGTCTTCATCGCTGATCTTATTGACATAGGAAAATACTTGTCGTCAAAGCGAATCTGAAATTCAGCATAAGTCAATCTGGTCCTCTCTTCGACAGTAGTAATAGACTCCCACCACTGCAATGCATTGCCTATCAGCATAAACGTAGCTAGCATCTGTTTCTGCACTTCGGTACAGATTACCATCCGAAAATGACGCTCGCTCTCCTGTTTCCACTGATATGCTAACAGGACATCTATGGGCCCTGCAAATGTTGGTGGATTTCCCCGGATGAACGAATGACGAACTTTGTCCCATGACATTGGCTGTGCCACTGGTTCAGGAACAGGTACTATTGGAGGAGGTTGCTGGTTTCGTAGAGCAGATGCTACTCCTGCTGCTACAGCTCGTGCAATAATATCAGCAACTTGAGGGGAAAATTCCTGATTCTCATTTTGAGTTGGGGAAATACTGCGATGCTGGTTCGCATTCCTTGTCCCACGCCGAGACATCCTTCTTTTAAATTCAGAAAAATCTAACGTCAGTACATTATAATGGACCGACTAAAAGAATACAAAGAACCCTAATACTTAGGCTCTAATTATTAGAATACACAACGCCGAAGTATAGTAATCACAGATCCCTAAGACACTCGAACCTGGAATGCTCTGATACCAACTGTAACACCTCCACATTTTCCATGCATAAGTTGATCAGGCTTATACACAAAAAACGAGGGATATCAAAAACAATTGGCAATATACAAGCATGGAATACAAAATGATGATAATAAAAGAATTTAGACAGGAAAGGAACACTAAATAATACAACATCCATCCATCCTTTATTTAATACAGTACTCCATTACAACTTGAAAATCCTATGTCAAGGATCCCTAAATATAACCCTGAGAGTTCAACGTCAAAAGTAAATAAAAACTGAAACTGAAGTAATACATAAAACTTCTACCCTGAACTGGATCGTAAGAGTAGATGAGTTCGGATGGTGGTCCCTCACTGCTAACCTCAACCTTGGAACGGGTACTGACTGTATCCTGAAATAACAACAATGGTGGGTCAACCCCACGAGCAAGTCCTCTCTACTATGACCCAAATCAGAGAATCAAATAAATTAATCATTAAGAATCGGATGAGTACTATATCTATATACATCCTAAGGGAACTATCCAATGTATAACATGACCTCAACCAGAATAGACGGTGATCACTTAGACTCACACTAGGTGGTTAAGTGTCGCCTTTCCCTACCCGGGAAATCAGCTATTATACATGGTGCACGGTACTGACAACACAGACTGTAAAGACTACACAGTAGTAAAACATCTCAATGTACTAATGAGGTACTGAGCATAACAATTAGGCAATACATGCCAATAATAATACTAAATAAACTGAATATGTCAATTAGGCAACACATGCCAATAATATTAAACCACATACCCCGACAGCCACACATCTGTCTATAACAACGAATACATAAGGTATAAATGAGTCTAAACTTATTAGCCAGCTCATATGGTTCTATATGGCAACACATCCATATAATATAAATGCGACATAATTAAACAGTCCATTTATTTTCGGAAATGCACACAGCATAATAATCATGGTTTATATATCATTTAACAGTATAAACATCCCATAAGATATCATGGATAATTTATCTGACTAAAACCATGGCATTATTTAATTTAACAGTAATGTTTGATACCATTTAATAAGATAATAACACTATTTATATTTAACAATGTCGTTAAATAAATCACATTAGTATCTGTACTGTAAACGAGCCAATAAATGCTTAGAAAAGATTAATCGGCCATAAGAATAAGTAATGGGTATTAAAATAATAATTTCGTGGCCCGTTAAACCCGTAAATACCAACACAGTACCTAAAAATCCAAGTTTAAGGTTCTGGAATTTACAAAACAGGCCCAAGGGGTATTCTGGTAATTTCCAGCAGCTGTAGAGACCCCACACGCGCCCTCACGCGCCTCCCAGAGCCTCCCCACGCGCAGCCCAACCTTCCCCACTCTCCCACGCGCCTCCACGCGCATCTGGCATCAGCCACGCGCGCGCACGCGCTCCCACGCGCGTCTGGAGAGTTCCACGCGCGCGCACGCGCTCCCACGCGCGCGTTGATGGCTTCCTGCTGGCGTGGCGTCCTCCGGTTGGTTGGCTGCATCAGCTTTCCTACATGCGCGCCACACCGGATCATCTATCATCTCATCTCACCTAATCTAAGGGTCAATGATCCGGGTGTACCGCGGTAACATGGACCGCGATGCACCGGATCAATCAGCTTCATCTAAGGCCCAGGATGCGCGCGCGCACTAACCTACAATGCGCCGCATCACACCGGATCACTCCGGTCATCTTCTTCACTGCCGGTGGCCGGAAACCTCGCCGGAGGCTCGCCGGAAATTGCAGAAAAGCCCCGGAAAAATCTAGAAAATTCTAGAAAAATCCCTAAAGCCTTATTTAATTATTTTCAGCTATATTTTAATTACATAGGCTAATAAATAAATATCTAACCTCTTTAATAATTAAAAACACATTATTTTAATAAACTAAAAATAATTTATTGAAATTCCTAGCTTGGTTTCTAGTCTCTAAAAACCCGAAATAAATTAAATGAATAATTTATGGATTCAAAGGGGAAAAGTAGATAATAACTTGCCTTTTTGGATTTAAAATAAATCCGCCGGTTGCACGTAGTCGGGTAACTTTCTCCTACACCGGTCCAAGCTACTTTCTTTCTCTCTCACCTTTCTTCTCTTTCTTTCCTCTAACAACAGCTCTCTACTATTTTAAATTGGTTTCTAACTTACCTTCTCATCAAACTAACTAATATTTATACAAATTAAAATAATATAAATATTACAAATATCTAAATTACATTAAACTCACCACATTCCCAACCATATGGCTTCAAGTCCTACCTATAAATATTAATGAAATCCTATCCTAATCTCTAATTTCATCATGACTTATGATTTAATACTATTATTATTATTATAACTATTATTATTATTATTATTATTAATAAACTATTATAATTAATATTATTATATTATTATTATTATTAATAACTATTATAATAATTATTATTATTACATAAGAATACATTATATCATCATAATACTTTATAACATAAATATAATACTTTAATTAACTAATATTGCTTAATTAAACATAATCAACAAATAAAATTATTAATAATAATACATGCACAATTAAATGAATAAATTTACTATTTTAACATATACAATTAATTTACATGCACCATTAAATGAACTTAATATAACAATGTAACATGCACAATAATAGGTAAAGAAATCCACACATAAATGAATTTAAATAAACTAAACTCTTTAATAAAATACGGGGTATTACAATAGGATTTTTATATATTTGATTATGGTACCTCGATATGAGCGTGAGTCTCAAGATCGACGGTTAGGGTGCGTATATGCATTGGGATGCATAGCTGGCTATGATGGTTGGAGGTGTACCCTGTTAGGTCTAAGTACTCATGCCCACTTCAGGTGTGTTTTGCATGTTGCCTACTAGTCAGGTTGAGACCGGCCTGTAGTCTAGTGAGAGTCATTTAGTGTGGATATATATATGTACGGACTATATTGTTATTGTTGAATTGTTTAGGATGTACATGCGTATTGGGTCTCTACTTGGATTGTAATAGTATAGAACTTGCGCATGGGCCTGATCCACTCTTATTTTTCAAGCATCAGGCAGGTCCAGTCTTAGAGCTTGATCGAGCTGAGCAAAGACAGTCACTCATTCTTTCGATTACGTAGGACTGCTTCTTATATTTCAGTTTTACCTTTGGATTTTATTCTAGTGGTTTACATTTCAGTTTGGGATTTTTATTAGGGGTCCACTAGAGATGGATTCTTGAGTTATTTAATTATTGGAGGATATTTATCGAGGTCTTGGATTATGGGATGTTATATCATTTAACTTTTAAGGATTATATTTTAGATATCTTTTCAGCCTTTATTATTTATTTATTATTTCATTTTGTATTCCATGTTCATTTAAATATTAATTGTTTAATATTCCTCGGATCTGTGCTCGGACTTGATCACCCGTGGCTCTAGAATCAAGGGGCATCACATATAAGCCCTTGAAGCCTCTGATACATACCTTTTTGACATTAAACGGGCAAACACAACATAGAGAACCTCAGGACTAACCGAAACGTAATCGATTATGTACTTATGGATGGAGATTTTTACAGAAGATCAATTGATGATGGGTTGTTATTCCAGTACATTAGTAAGTTTAAAAGACTGAAGATTATTGCAGAGGTACATGAAGGTATGTGTGGAGCCCATTAAGCAGGCATAAAAATACGATGGTTAATCCATCGATATGGGTATTATTGGCCTGGAATGAGAAAGGACTATATGACCTATGCAAAAAGGTGCACAGATTATTAAAAGCATGGTCCAATGTAATGGGTTCTACTAATAGAAATGTAGCTATTAGTTAAACCATGGCCCTTTAGAGTTTAGGCTATGGATTTAATCGGTAAGATTAATCATCATTCATCAAAAGGGTATCATTGGATTATCTTGACTACCGATTATTTTACTAAATGGGTCGAAGACGAAGAATAAGTGTTAGTAACTCAAAATACTGTGATTCAGTTTTTGGAACGACATATCTTTCACGGATTTGGTTTACCCGAAACAATTATTGTTGATAATGGATCTGTGTTTAGAGGAAGTGAAGTATTGCAACTCGGCCACAATATGCAGGTAAAGATGTTGACTTCAACTCCTTATTATGCTCAAGGGTATGGTCAAGCAGAAGCTTCAAACAAAATCATGATTGAGATTATAGAGAAGATGATCAATGGCAAACCAAGAAAATGGCACAAAGCTCTATCTGAGGCTTTGTGGGCTTATAGGAACTCGAAGAGAACAAGTCAGGAACTACTCCTTATCAGCTAACATTTGGCTATGATGCAGTCTTGTCAATGGAGTTGAATGTTAAATCAGTAAGGGTAGCTTTGCAACACAATTTGATACCTATCGATTACAACGAGGCTATGCTTGCCGAGTTGGAAGACTTGGATAAAGTAAAGAAGCTCGCTTTAGACCACTTTATGGTCCACAAAGCAAAGGTGATGAAAGCTTATAGCAAAATAGTAAAATTCAAGTCATTCGAAGAAGCCGATATGGTATGGCAAACAATCCTTCCACCTCGGAAGGTTGATAGAACTTATGGTAAATGGTCCCCAACTTGGAAAGGACCATACTTATTTCATCAAGTGTTACATGGAGGTGCCTATAAACTGAAGGATTTGGATGGTGACATACATGAATGGCCAATAAATGGGAGGTATCTTAAAAAATACCAACCTACTATTTTTGAACTTATAAAGGAAAAGAAAGCCTCCATTTAGTCAAATCTAGAAGGTGCATGTTAAGTTTCAGAAATTCATAGCAGTATTTGAATTAATTAATGGATAGAGAATATAATGATAATTATCTGTGAGTTGGTTTCAATTAGATATGTAGATGGTTATCCTGTAGAGGTATGATGTAATTATGATGCTTACGTATAGAAATTGGTTTACGGTATTATTCTATAAATAATTGTAGAAACATGCTTTATAAGAGGTCCAACACTCTCAGAATCATATTTTAATATTATTTTGCTTTCTTAAGCTCTCCCTCTCTAATTCTACTTTCCCTATTTAGCAATCTTATTATTCTTAATCTCTCTCTTTCTATCTCTCTTTGCTCTATCTCTTTCCCTTTATCTCTTTCTCTCTATCTCCTTCTATATCTACTTCTCTTCCTCTATCCTATTGTCACAATTGTTACTAATCTTCACTGTTAAAAATCCTTTTAACTAAGGCAAATTGAACTCGCGGCGAAGTTTATGTTCTCTTTCTCCTATAATCGCCTGATAGTTAATTTCTCAAAGAGACTATAGTTAACTACACATATTCGAACCACATTGCTAGTTCTGGCACGCCCGCATGACCAAATTTATGAATCGGCTTTAGCCACTGATTTTAGGGTCAACATGCGCTGTTCAATAGGAAGGAAAAAAAATTGAATGGAAAGAAGAGAAGAATGGATGACTGAGACATCCCTAGGGAAGAGATTAAGTGTTTCCCTATTTTTGTTCAGTTGGATGGAAGAGAATGGAAAAAAGCTAACAATTTAATTTGATTGGTAGGATAAAAGGAAAGATAAAATTTTAAGTTATTTTTACCATTAAACCCCTTACTACTTTATTTATGGGATTTATTAAATATTTATGAAGGGTGATCTAGTAATTTAAAACTTCTATAGTAAGTTCATTTGTCTTCTCTCCTATCTTTTGCCCATATTTGGGCGGATGACTCACACTTTCTATTATCCTTTCTTTTCTTATATCATCTTTTCCGAACAAAAGAAATTTATTCTCTATTGTTTTCTTTCCACCCTTCTTCTTTCCTTCTTTCCAAACATAGCATACTTTACCTACAAATGAAGTGCGGAGCATTGGGTAATTTACCGTTGGAAGTAACTGAAGGAGTAGAGTAAGGGCCTATTTGGGAAGTGTTCCCATGTGTGGTGTAATGGTCCAGGCCCGCTACAGTAGCTCATTTTGAGAACAAAACTTATTTGAGTCGGCTTGTTTTGTTTTCAACACTACCAAAACACTTTCAAAATATGGGCCAAAACTTGGAACAAAAAAAAGGTGTTCTGGTTTGTTCCACAACTTGACTGACCCAATTTGAACTGTAGCGGGGGCAACATGTTTTACACTGTAGCGGGACAACAAATTTTTTTAGGGCAAATCATGTTAGCCTCCCAATCGCCTCCATCTCTATTCTCGTTCTCAACTCTGAACTTGCCTTAATTGCCTCCATCTCTATTCTCGTTCTCAAGTCTGAACTTGCCCTAATCACCTCTCAATCGCTTCCATCTCTATTTCAGCTTATATATCAAAACCCATATGGGCATATCATTTCAGATTGTTCAAAAAAATCAACCCATATCATTTGAACTTGCCCTCTCTCTCTCTCTCTCCAACTGCAAACTACAAAATATACAAGAATCAGAAGTTCAAAACCCATATATTTCAGTTTATGTATCTGTCTGCAAGAATCAAAAGTTCAAAACCTATTACCTATATCAAAACCCCCATATCGGCATATCATTTTAGATTGTTCAAAAAATCAAAACCCATATCTTTCAGTTTCCATCGGCCGTTGTTCTAGTTCTGGTTCGCTGTTCGCAACCTTTAGCCGCTGTTTCTCAACTCTCGAGCTTGCCCCCTCTTTCTCTGCAACTGCCAACTTGTGTGTATGGGTTTTCTTTTAATTTTTTTTTTCTTTCTAAATCAACTAATCAAGCTGTGTAATTCTTGTTTTGCAAACTAAATTGTATTTGGTGAAAATTTTGATTTGTGTATATTTTGCAAACTAAATCGTATGTGGTGAAATCAAGCTCTGAAATCAAGTTCCTAAATATATAAATATATATATATTATTTATGTACACCATAAAAAAATACCACTAGGGAAGAAGAAATGGAGTAGAATTTATATGAGAAAAAGTTGAGTATTGAAAAATTAATTTATTTTAATCATCCAAAAAAAAAAGAAAAACCCATATAAGCATACATTTCAGATATATTTCTATTCCAAAATTCTTATTTCAAATTTTTATTTCAAATATATTTTATTCTTATTTGAGAACATCACATTACAAAACACTTGTTACGTTGTGTATTAAAACAAAATATTACAAAACACAACATTTCTTAAACAGTCCTGAGTAGCACACAGCACAACACACGAGGGAGGATGAGGAAAAAAAAGGGAGGCATCTTTTAATCGTGAGGGTGATGGACACGCGGTGTGTAGGTGGACCCACCACTACCAGTGAGGCAGCTGTTTGTGTTGTTGCGTTCATCAATCATTCATTCAGTAGACTATTAATGTATTAATTATTAATTTTCGGGTTTTTATTTATTTATTTGGGTGGTGTAATCAGTAATGTAATGTTAATGTGTACTACAATACTTTCCCCACAAACAAAATAAAGCAAAAACCACCACACCACTACTCTCTCTCGCTCTCTCCATTCATAGTCATCCGAACCTTTCGCCATCTTCCCCCACCCAACTTGTCCTTTTTGTATTTTTTTGTTTATTTCCTTCCTTCCTTCCTGCAGCAGTATCCGGCCGTTTCTCGCCGCCGTCGACCTCTCGGGGGAGATAACCGATCACTCTCGGGCAAGTACTATTGTTTCTTGTCGACTCTCAGTTGTTAATCAGTTGCCAGTTAATTAATTTAGGACATGTTTATAATTTTCTGATGCGAATTGCTCTGTTTTGAGTGTTTATTGTTTGATTTGGAGAGTTTTGTGGTTAGTTAAGAGTAATTGGGTATGTGGGTTGCTCTTAATTGGAACCATGGATGTGTGGGTGTACTGTTTCTGGACTTTTGGGGGCGAACTGAGGCTGATTAGGTGAAAAAGTTATCATTCTGTTTTTGTTTTAGGAGAATATGACCGTTTTATCTGTGATTGCCAACAAAAATTAATAACAAAAAAGTTTTTATCTTTGCTGTGGATTTGGATCTCTGTAGTATCAGAATTTCTTTTGTGTGATGGAGACGAGAATCGGAGGTAGTGAAGCTCGTTTCTTCTATGGTCTGAGTTCCGCGGATTTGAGAGCGGTGGGGAAGAGGAGTCTGGAATGGGATCCGAGTGATTGGAAATGGGATGGAGATCTATTCGTTGCTAGCCCTTTGAATTCCAATCCTATGAATTATCAGAGCAGCCAATTTCTCCCACCTGGGTCTGGAATACCCACGGCTGGGGGTGGGGGTTCGTCTAACAGTTCATCTTCATGTTCTGATGAAATGAATCTTGGAATTGAGAAAGGAAAAAGAGAATTGGAGAAGCGGAGAAGGGTACTTGTAGTTGAAGAAGATGACAATTTGGATGATGAGGCCCGGAATCTTACTTTAAAGCTTGGTGGACATGACTATCTGATGACCGGAAGCACGGTTGCCAATTGTGATGGAACAAGTGGGAAGAAGACCAAGTTGCTCGGAACTACTACTTTAAACCGCGCAGTTTGTCAGGTAGAGGACTGTGGGGCTGACCTAAGCAATGCCAAGGACTATCACAGACGACATAAGGTCTGTGAGATGCATTCCAAAGCCAGTAAGGCACTTGTTGGGAATGTTCTGCAGCGCTTCTGCCAACAGTGCAGTAGGTCAGTAATCATATGTCATTTGTTCTCAGTTGATGCTATATATATCAAGTTACTAACTATCTTCTCATGTAAATGTTTTATTGTAATGCAACGCTCTGGGGATCACATCAAGCATACTCCTATTGCCGAACTCATCTTTTCTTCTTACTCATTGGAATGCAAAGATTTTAAAATTTATATATAGAACTGTTGTTACTTTACCAAAATTCTATAAAGGCATAGAGTTTATTGACGTTCTACATTATAGAAGTTAAAGTGTTGACAATTCAATTATTCAAATTTTTGGTTCAGCAAAATTCTGTACTTGCAGGTTCCACGTACTCCAAGAGTTTGATGAAGGGAAGCGAAGTTGTCGAAGGCGTTTAGCTGGTCATAATAAAAGGAGGAGGAAAACACAACCCGATAATGTTGTTAATAGCAGTTCCTTGACTGATGACCAGGCTAATGGTTATCTATTGATAAGTGTACTAAGGATACTTTCCAATATGCATTGTGAGTAACTTAAGACTCTCTTTCTCTCTCTCTCTCTGTCTCTCTCCCCCCCCCCCCCCCCCCCCCCCCCTCCCCCCGGTGCGACCCGCTTATGATAAAGGATCAAATATGAGTTTTGTCCATGAAATCCATTGTTTGCTCAGTTATATCACGCTTTATCTTATATTAGTAATAGGTATTAACTTGTGGTAGAATTTCTCTCTTTATCTTGTTTTCATCTCTTTTGTGGAAGTATATCCTGCATCCTTTTTTTTAATGAATGATGGATTAGATCACTTATAAAAAAAAAAAAATGAATGGTGGATTAGATTATAATTCCTTAATTGTCTTTTGTTAACATGCCGTCACTCATTTCTCTTTAATCTCTGGTGGTAAATACTAGTTGTCAAGAAATATACTGATCAATGGTATAATCCTTGCTGCTTGGTTTTTATTTTGATCTCCACATATTGCCCAGCCAATTAATTTGATAAGTATGTAAGACAAATAGAAGACTTGGCTATCATATTCAAATGTTTCAAATCATCAATATATAAAGATGTATTTGGTGACCATTTGAGAGATCGAATATCATGCTTAGCATAACACTGAAAATGTGTTCTTAATCAACTTTCATTTCTTCTTGTAGTTTAAGTTTGATGATCAGGATAATGTAGATATTACATCCAATATAATAGATTTTCAAGGTAGGCATCGGCTAGGTGAAGAACCAAGCTAACTCATGGAAGAGAAAGGAAGATAGTATTGGAGGAGGGCATTGAACCCTGCTAGATGAATAATTTCCTAGAGCTATCAATGGGATCATTCAGTTAAGGTACCTGTGGGGTTAGGACATTAGGTGAATTCAAGTTGGTTCTTAATCCTTATATATATATATGTATATATAATGGTTCTTAGTGGTTCTAGAAACCCCTTTTAAGGGAAGAACAACTCTCTAGGCTCTGATAAGTTAAGAGTACAGGGTATGCCAAGTTCCAAATTAGACCTAGGGGCTTGGGTGGGGGGTTAAATAGGTCTTTTAAAATTTTAATAATCTATAATAGAAATTTAAAAGTTCTTAGCGCTCAAACCAATCACAGCAATAGTAAATAAAGCTGAAAGCAAATAGAAGCATTCACACATACATGAACACCAAATTTGCATGAAAAAACTGATAGGGAAAACCATGTTACAGTATGTCAGACAGAAACAGTTCACTACGATAAAAATGCTATATTTTAGGTATCAAAGGTTTTACCCATAGCATCACCTAAATTACCTTTGATCCAAACTCAGGCCTTATGTTCACCTCGAACTCTATTGCTGAAGCAACATACTTGTTCCTTGTGCGATTTGTTGCTTCTTCCTTAGTTGTTTTCTTTTACTAACCGCCCAATCTTCTTGTTATGTGAATATCAGTGTTGATTTCTTCTAAACGTTTGTTTGAATGTATCAACAGTCAAAAGTTTTGTTCACTATCTAATGTGAAGATGATTCATGATGAAAAGAAAGAAACATGCTCTGAATATTGCCTATACTCTCTCGAGTAATGCTATTATGCTCTTGTATTCATGTGTTTGGATACTTAAAAAAAAAAAAAAAAAAAAAAAAAGATATGTGTTTGGATACCCTAGGAGTGTAAACTTTAAATAGGCCTTTGGTTAGAAAGAATTATGGTTTTAGAGGTAAAACCAAATTGGAAACCTTATCCCACAAGCTTCGATTCATCCATCCTTTGGTTTGATGGATTAAATTGGGACTAAGGGATCCAATCAATGAGACGGATTGATCAAAATCCTTGTTCACTTAAAACTAGCTTTCAAATTTTGAAAAATGTTCACATGTATCTCAAATAATGTATGTGATGCAATCGATGCTTGATAAATGATATGAATGCATAAATCAAAACATTAATTGGTGAATTATTAAAATTGAGAGTGATTTTACCTTTTTACCCTTTTGATAATCTTGAATTAGCTTCATTAAGACTTTCAGATAAAAAGTTGACACCTGACCCTATCTAATTTACCTAATATTTAAAATTCGAAACAAACTAAATAAATACTTACAGAGTGAGTCTTCATGACAAAATTTGTCAATCTAAGTATTAGGGCTCGTTTGGTATATAACTTTAGCTTTTGCTTTTACGCAGAAGAAGAATAGCAGAAGCTATCACTTCCATTTGGCTTATGCATTAATGTATGAGAACTATATTTTTAAAGAGCTTTTAATGTTAGAAGAAATTTTTTCTCTGTTTGGAATAAAAAAATGGGCCAAAACTTTTCTACTATTGAAATAACTATTTTGCCCTTCGATGAAGTGGGTTTTTTGGGCTGTTGGCAACATAAAGTAGTTAAACTATTTTGCATACAACCATTCCCTAAACACCTTACAAATAATCCATTCAACAAGAATTAAATTATGAGAACATATAAGAATAGTACATTGTGCTGAAAAAAGGTCACATATTCCATATCATCATTGTTACGACAATCGCTGCGAAACAAGAACAAATCAAGTATCACAACATAAAAGTAAACACACAAAGATTTACGTGGTTCAGCATAAGCCTACGTCCATGGTAAAGATCCGGCGAAATGTTTTACTATGCAAAAATCAGGAGATTACAAGTTTTAAGCCCCAAAACCCTAGCTCGCTCGCTCGCTCTCTCTCTCTGAGGTTTTAAGTTTTCTCTCACCCCCGTTGCTTTGGTGGGCTTAGACCCACACAAAGCCCATTTTTCAGATCAAAACCTCCTGGCCGAAACAAAATTCAGGCCACAACTTCACAATCATCAACATAGCAAATTAAATTTATTATATAAGCATCGACTCTGTAGCAATTCTATCCTGAATAAGCCCCATCTCACTATTGTTTGGAAATTGATTGCCAAAGAACTTTTAGTTATAGAAGAGCTTCATTCGCTTGTTAGGTAAGAACATTTGTTGAACTTTTATAACCTTTAAATACCAGTTTCATCCTTGAATGAAATGCTTGTTCAAGTTTTTGACAACATAAAAACTATAATTACTTCCCAAACACTTCTTACACCAAACACCAAATAAGCAACAATAATGATAAGTTTTTTAAACCAAAATCATGTCCATTTCTCTCCATTCTTCAGTTTGACAGTTAAGAGATACACAAGTATTTGGATTGCTCTGCTTCTTGCCTTCATATTTTTAAGTTGGATGTTGTTTTCATGTCCTTTTTTTACGACTTAGACAACTGTAAATCTAATCTCATTGCAAATTCTTGAAAAAAGAGCCAAGCCTATTATTTGATGTGCTAATAACAAGAAAGATTGTAATTGAACAGCTAAAGCGTATAATTACCATCTAAATTCAAATTTCTTGACTCATAAAAAGTAGAGCAACAAAAAAGATTCAATGGGTTTACAAATGTAAACTGATCAAAGAGTGAAAATCGAACAAGCGAGAGAGAGAGAGAGAGAGGGATGAAAAAGAAAATGAATTTAGTAGATTTATACATATAAGCTCGACTAATAGCTGGAAAGGTGAATTAACACACATTCAATTCAAATAATTTTCCAGTGACGTGTATTGGCTACATTGAGAACTTTTATCTTAGAACTGTATATGCACTTAAAAAATATACATGTATTATAACTTAACCTCCCTTAAGGTTGAGGAGTGCTAGAAATCAAAATTATTTTTTAGTTAGAGTTAAAAAGGTATAGGCTAAAAAGCATGGAAACTTCTACTAGAGCACTGAACCTGTATTGTGTTCGCGTCAGATATCGATACTCCTCGAATACTCATGGATACATGTTTGATACTTCCTAAACGTGTTCATAATTTTAATATATATATATATATTAATTTCTAACACGTATTTGATACTTCTCAAATACTTCGATGACGTAGATGATGTTTCTCAGATACTTCAAAACATATATTTAACAAGTTTTAAATATTAAAATGTAACTTTTCCAACAATAATATCATAGTATAATTGTTTAGAAAAGTTTATTTTAAAAAAAAAAAAAAACGTATTATTGAGATTTATATAATGATTTTGTCCAAAATTTATCCATAAGATATGACTCTCAACTCTTATTTTGTTTATTAATCATAATATTTATAAAGAAATGTTAGTAACAATACATTTAACATAAAAAATTATTATTTAAATTAATCCATGGATATATATTAATGTTTATACATGCCTACATTTATAAACTATATATTTTGCCATGTCCTTGAGTATCTGTATCTTATATTTTAAGAATTTGTCATATTGTATTTGTATCGTATTATGTCCGTATCCATATAGAGACATGCATTGACAATAACAAGTGAAGGAAAGAAAAGGGGGAAGAAGTCCCAAGAGCTATACAAGGGCCGAAGAGGTCCTAAGGTCCCAAAAAATTGTTGACATATATAGATAATTAGTTGTGTCGTTGACTATATAACTGTTAACATACATAGATAATTAGCTGTACATGTGCTGATTAGCATAGTTATAGGAGCTGATTTTTAGTCTTTCATTCTTGCCTTCTTTGTAATTATTTGTGTACTATTTAAATCCTCCACAAGGAGAAGAATAAACACGGAGAATTATTCCTATTCCTTTATCTCTAGAAATATCTTCATGGTATCAGAGCCATCTAGAAAGGAAATTTAAAACCCTATTTTTCTTTTAGGCTTTTTCTGTAAATACATCTCATTACCCAAACACCAGTTTTTTTTTCTCTCACCCCAGAACCTACCAATAGCCCTGCCCACCACCACAGACCAGGTATCCTTATTTGACTTCATGACAAACAAGATTGAACTTCTGAGATTGATTCTTAGACTCTAATGATTCCTTTAACCGCATCTAACCCGCATTAAGATCTGATGAATGTCCAGTTGGTGCCTCATAAACTTGATGGCACCAATTATCTGGCTTGGTCACACTTTGTGAAGCTGTATATTACTGACAAAGGCCGGTTGGGGTATTTGACTGGGGAAAACCCCAACCTACGATCAATGACCCAACTTTCATGACTTGGGTTG